GTTAAAGTTTATACGAATACAAAAACTTTATACATATAAAATTAAGAATGCTTATTAAACCTTAAATACATATATATGTGTAAGACATAATATACCTATTTCACCTTAAATTGCATTCGGCCAGCAATCGGAATCTAGATGACGTTGGGTTGGCCCGGCCCGTGTTCAAAATCTAATACATACATATTAAATTTAAAATATTATCGTTATTTAGTGCCACCAAATTTTCCAAATGGCAATCAGGGAATGCGAGGAATGAATCATCCCAACTACGGCATTCATATGAATACTCCAATTCCAACCCAAAATTCGCAGTTTGGTCAACAAATGGTTCCACCTCAACAAACGGCTCCTCATCAAAGTGATATTTATATTTTTAAATTTTAATTAAAAACAACGAAATATGACGTGATTTGACAATGTTGAGACCGTATTTTACCCCTTCCACAAGTTGTCGCGGAAAAAGAATAAGCAGGGCATGTCAGCGGAACGACGGCCACCGCTTCGCTACGGCTCGCACGACGCAGCGAGCTCCTAAAATAATCATTTGTTCAAGTTTGGTATTAAGAAAACCAAACAAGTCTCTAGAATAAAATTATCTGCTTATTAAAATTAGATAATCATTAATATTTCAGATTATAATGATGGAGACACTCAGCCTTTAGGTTACTGTGCGATTTCTGGAAAACCTCTTTATCCCGGTTATTCTGCACCACAACATGATTTTGAAGAAGACCCATCGACGTGTATCACAATGTAATGGATGTTATGCAAGTTTAGTGGACAGACTGAAGGATGATTTGAAAGGAATTTTTTCGCGCACACAAAAAGTTTTTTGGGTTGACAATTTTTTTTATTTTTTTCATTTTGGTAATTATGGTAGCTCACAGCAACTTGACATGCAACCAAGCCCCGTTTCAGTGCAGACTGAATTTTTCTCTTTTTCTTTTAACACTATTTTTTTCGCGTGCTATTTTTATAATGATATGGTCATTTTTGAGCTTCCAACCTCGAGAAGCTTTATCTCGATAAAACTGTGTAGAGTTAAAATTCTTTCCGGCAAAAACCTAAAGATACTTAAAAAAAATAACCCAACAAAATTAATGTATTAACACTTTTATGTTTACTTTAGCCGGTAGCCGGTTCCAAAGTCTCTCAATTTATATCATCGATTCATCTCGTCGAGCTGAGTCGATTGGTACCACTCTCTAGACATAGAAATGACATTGGACTGATATACATGATCTTTTTTTGCTTACGCTTCAAAACAGGCTAAGACTCTAACTAAGACTCTAAAGGGCTGGTTGCACAAATTTGGTTATTTGGACCAATTAACTGTTTTTGACCAATTAACATCAAAACTGTGTCCATAACTAGAAATATCTGAAAACTTTGTTATCTATTTGAACACGCTGTGAACTACCATAGTAGGGACTTTTAAAGGGATTTCTAAACGATTTAGTTCTTTATATTAAAGACAGCATTAAGTAACGTTCATTTATTTAAATTTATTTTATATTCATTTTTTATTTAATTTGATCAGTTATATGATCGTTTCTTTAAATTATTTTATTTTAAATTTATTTAACATTTTTTTGCATAAATTTTATTCGGGAATTTGTTTATATTTTTGAAAAATATTTCAAGCTCTAATTTAATATTTCCAACTTCATCTCTTTTGTGTTTGAAGGGAATAGATCTGTTAAATAGCCACAAAACAATTTAATTCTTAATGCAAATGTGCTTGTGAAGTAAAGCACATGCCGTGTTTTACCTAATAGTGCCACTGTCTCTAATAGACCACCCCTTCTAATAAACCGAACTTCTAGAAGATAATTTAAAAATAAACCGACCGTCTATATTAGACCGACCCCTTCTAATAAACCGACCCCTAGAGGGAACCCATCCCCATAAAACATCACAGTGAGTGAAGTCATCAACCTAACCACTCAACCTTGCCTCATCAAAAGAGGTATGGAATAAAAATTTAAATATTTTTTCCCTTTTCCTTTTTCTTTTTTTTATTTTCGCTTTCCCTTTTTTTATTTTCTTCATTTTAAGAATAAAATTTTATCAGAAAAAGCCATTCTTAGGGTGTAAAAATTTCCTGACTTAGTCGGGAATTGACATCGGGATCGGGAGGCCAAAAACTCGGGAAATTTCCCGAGTCGGGTGTCGGGATACCCGAACATCACTAGTATGATTTTAACAAAAACACCCAAAAAATTTAATAATTGAATGTGTCATCGAATATTTTTAAGTTTAGATTAGAATTACCCAAAAATTTTTTTATAATTTTTTGCTTAAAAATTATTTTCAAGAAATTTTAGTAACTTGTTTTTAACAGCCTTTTTCTTTTACTCATAAAGTACAATTGCGTGCTTTCATTGTTTTGACAGATTTTATATTGAAAAGTTTTTTTTGAAAATTTGTATATAAATTTTTTTTTTAATTTAGTAACCATTGGAAACAAGGGCATTAATTAATAGTGGAGTTGGATTGTGAATTTTTTGGATTAACGAAGAAAAGGAAAAGGGGAATTTAGAAGGATTTTAAATGGAATTTATTTGAGGTTTCCCTCTCTATGGGAGTGTATAGAAAATGAGAGCAGATACTTTTATCTATCATTTTTATTTTTGACGTGAATATGATTATTATTTTTATTATCCCATTTTATTAGATATCAATAATCACAAAATTTTTTTAAAATTTCAAATAAAGTTTCCAAAGCTTTAGCTTTTTCAAAGTGTTTAAAAAAATTTAGAGAATTTTAATTGCTAATTAAAATTTTGTATCTAGCTAATATCTACTTGATTGTATATTTTAAAACCAACACTTTATTTTGGCTACAAAAATAAAACAAAAGATACAATAGTAATCTTAAAAAACTTGATAAACATTTTTTCGAAATTTCTTCTCAGTGTGATCTCTATAAACGGGAGGAGTCAAAGGTATCGCGAGCCCAAGGTACCACCGAGCTATAACTTTGTTCAAAATTATTGAATCCGGGACGCCATGGTATGGTTCGATGAATCTCGACAAGCTGAATCGAACCGTACCTGGGCGTCCCGGATTCGACAATTTTGACAAAGTTATAGCTCGTTGGTACCTTGGCCTTGCGGTACCTTGGGGTGTACCTCTATAAACAATTAATCGTAAAAAGATAAAATAATATTAACATTAAGTATTTATTCACTTAATACATATGTAGTACATATAATAGTAAAGGAATATTATTTTTTAAGCCAAAATCGCATATCGCCTTTCCTCGTCAGAAAAAAATTCCTTTTTTATTTAAAAAGCTGTGATTTTCTGTTGATTTTTTAAATTATTTTGAAATACTTAAATTTAAAAGTGCCTTTGCAGGTTTAAATTCTCGCATTTCTTTTCCACTTCTCTCCCTCCCACTCCTCCCTCAATGCAATTTTCTTCATCAGGAGGTGTTAATTCCTTACTTTCCACTTCTTTAAGTCCCTGCGCGAGTGAGGTAAGTCTTCCTCGTGTTATTTCGCCTCTTTTACAACGGCATTCGGAAGAGCAACCCGAAAGTGAAGAACAAGATTTAATTAAAAATCGCCGTCGAACTGCTAGTTTCAATGGTTTTATTCGGAAAAAAATAATTTTTTAAATTAAAATTAATTAAAAGAACAACAATTTAAACACAAATATTTGCCTTCAAATTCATTAACAGCTTCGCTTTCCACTAAAATGGTTAGGCAATCGAGTGTGGAAAGTACTGAGAGTTGTACTGTTCCTCCTCCTCTACCTGTTGACTTTTTTCAAGGAAGTCTTCTTGAAAAGGTTTTTTAGATTCATTTGAATTATACAAAACATTTAAAGGATTGGTAATTAATTTAATTATTTTTATTAAGATGTTTGACAACAGATTTAGAACACTGCGTGAAAGAAAAGCAGCAAAACCAACACTTAAAAGCAAAGTAATAAATAAATTCATACTTAATAAAGTATAACTTTCTATAGTGAAAGCTTTCATAATTAAAATTTCATTGAAATAGTTCTTTCTGTACTATATGTAGTTTTATAATAACTAGGGTTTGGGTTTTCGAGTCATTTTTTCGGGCCTCATTTTTATCGGACCGGCACTACAGTCCTTTAAGGGCCAAAATTCGAAGCCTGGCTCGATCTTTCGAACCGGGCCGGATCGGGCCACCAACCTTTATAAAATCTCTCCCTCTATTTCAATAATAAATTTCAATGCGGCCTTTCATGGAATTAGTTTATTTTAAAATATAATTGTCGATTCATGTGAAATCTTATGATATCCATTCCAAACATTTATAAAATAATTAAATTTAAAAATTTAATATTCTTAAATTTAAAGGTTTATAATTTTCTGGAAAGGTAAATTTATTTAATTTAAATTTCGATGTATATCTTTAATTTTTTAAATTGGAGGCCAACCGGATGGAAATGTTTTCTCTATCATTTTAGGTAATTTATTAAAGCTCTGAAATAATTGGATTGAAAAAAAAATTAAAATTATTTAGTATTTCATTCTTTCAGTGTATTCAGCCTGGTTCTAATCTGTTTGATTCTGAGTGTACTTTCAACTGTAGAATCTTATAGTAAGCCTGCTTCTGAGGCACTCTTTCTAATGGTTAGTATTTTAAAAATTAAATTGGCACTGATATTCAGTCTTACTAGAATTCCATCTTAACCGTATTTTCGACTAAATCTGAACCGTAGAAGAGTCGTGGGAGAGTAATATATTTCCTAGAAACAATAAAGTAGATATTCAGTTAGTTAGCATTTAAAATACTTACTAGGCTCGGGTTTAAGATTTATTAAAAGAGGTGAAAGCTCATTCGAGTAGCACATGTACATGGAGTACAGAAGTAGCTAAAAACAACTGCCAGGAGGTCGCCTTATCGATGCCCCCTCCCCCCTCTCTCGCACTCTCACTCTTGTAACAATAATCAACCTAAATTTAAGGAAGTTTTTCTTGTACTTTTCTTCGGCGTTGAATACTGTGTTCGTCTATGGGGTTTGATTATGAGCTAATTTTCTATTTAGAACTATTTTTTGTAGCAGCTGGATGTCGTTCCAAATATCTTGGAATTTTAGGGCGTTTAAAGGTTTGATTATTATTTTTATTAAAATTTATTAAGTTTATAGTTTGCTCGAAAACCAATCTCCATAATTGGTCAGTTTTGATAAATAGTTTTAAAAATAGGGAAATTGAATTTAGATCTTTGTGTTGTTATTGCTAGTCTTTTTGTTATTTCTGTTGGAAGCGAGGGAAAGGTATTTGCTACAAGTGCCATAAGGTGATTTAAATTGTCTCAAAATGTTTAATTCTTTTCCAATATGAATTAAAAGTTCATTCTCTTTCAAAAATCCTACAAACCAGAGGTGGGTCGGAAACCCGATTTCCGAAATAAATATTGATTTCCGAGTTCCGACACCTCTGACTGTTCCGACCAAACTCAGCTACTAACACAAATTTTATATACTGATTATTATGTCGATGATATCCAACTATCCCCATTTACATAAAGTTGTGTTAAACATGATCGAACATTTATAAAACATTTCAAAATTATTTTTAAATTTAATAAATTATTTAAAACACTTTCTTTAGAGGAGTACGCTTTTTACAAATCCTTCGCATGTTGCATGTGGACAGACAAGGAGGAACATGGTTTTGCTAATATCTCTTTCCTTATTTTCAAGAAAAATACCCAAAATTAATTTAGGAGATTACTTGGATCGGTTGTTTTCATTCATAGACAGGTTTTTAATTGTTTGTTTTTTACTAAAGAAAACAAATAAGGAATTAATTACGACTTTGTATATTGGCTTTCTTGGCCTAATATTTGCTTCATATTTTGTATATTTGGCTGAAAGGGATACTCAACAAATTGGACCTGATGGTCGTCCAGCATTTGGAAGTTATGCTGATGCTCTATGGTGGGGAGTGGTCAGTTAGTTTGATATCTTTACACATTAATTGGTTAAAAAATATTACACATTAATTGGGTCAGATTAAATGGTAGATTTTACTCGAATGAGGAGATACAACTTAGAGAGAACTCCGAATACATAGGAAATCTGGATCTTTCCTAACTAAAAATTTTAGGATATTCTTCCTTCAGAATTTAATAATATTTAATAAATTAAATAATTTAATATAATTTAATAATTTAATACTATACCTACATTCTTTTGCTTAGAATCAGAGGTGGGTCGGAAAAGTCAGAGGTGTCTGAAATCGGAAGAGCCGGAAATCGGAACTGCCTCAGAAGTCGGAACTCAGAAATAAAAATTTTTTTCGGAAATCGGAAAGAAAAGACGCCGGAAGTCTGATAAAAATATAAATAGAAACTATAACTAACATAAAAACTTCTTGTAAGTTATTCAGATCACGATGACAACAATTGGCTATGGAGATGTTGTTCCACAAACGTGGATAGGTAGAATTGTGGCCTCTTGTTTTGCTATATTTGCTATTAGCTTCTTTGCTTTGCCAGCAGTAATAAACAAATAAATAAATCCGGAGCTATAATTTATTTAAAAAACTTAAGGGAATACTAGGATCAGGATTCGCTTTAAAAGTGCAACAAAAACAAAGGCAAAAACATTTTAACCGGCAAATTCCTGCTGCAGCAACGCTTATCCAGTGCCTCTGGCGTTGTTATGCTGCAGATAAATCTTCAAAATCCATTGCCACTTGGTAAATTAAGACAAATTTATTTTTATGAATGAAACGAAACATAAACGGTCCTAGCTGGGAAGTTTCTTACTATAATTGTCATTGCCCGGAGAACTAATTTTTCGTGTCCTGCAAACAAATTTTGGACTTTTCTAAACCGGACAGGATTCAGCATTTTTTCGTATATCCATCCGTCACCTGACGCTAAATTTTATTTTAAAAGGAGATAGAGATATAGTTTATCCTCACAAAGACATTAAAAACGTAAATAGTTACATATAAACTTAAGGCAAATACACGTAGACCCACTAGCAGCACAAAAACAACAAAGGCAGACAACAAGGAGGAGGAGTAATGTCGTTAATTGTCTAAACGGGGGAGGTGTAAATTCTTTCCGTGGTCCTTCTGCTTCAACTTCAGGCATTAGTCAACAAAGAGGAGTGCTCGCTACTAAAAAGCCTTATTATTCAATGACACAGATGTGGAGGGGAGGAAGATCAGTCATCAACAGGTGGGATAAAATGATTATCTAACTGAATACTTTTGGAATTTTTCAATAAATTCAAAATTGTAAAACTATGTATCAAATGTGTGGACAAAATTCTTGAAAAGTTTTATTTTAGCGGGGAATGTCGAAGGACTTTATCTTGTAACGTTAACAAATTTCTTTATTCTAGAGTTATTCGGTTAATAGAAAAATTAGTGGAGTAATCGGTGGATTAAAATGCACAGAAATAGATTTCTGTGGGCCCTGCTTGTGCAAAATAGGGCCCTGCTAGTGAAAGCAGTTAATCGGTGGCTGAGAGCGAACCAGCATCTTCAGCATACTGGACCATTACGCTAAGCATAGCCTAAGGAATTAACTTTGTAACTATATGTTTTACAATATATAATATACGTGGATGGGAATAATTTTGATTTTTGGCGTACACATAATCGCTAATTTTCCAAATTTATTTTAAATTCTGACATATAAAATATTCAAAAATTTCAGAAGAAACGGCAGCTTTTATCGAAGAAAACAATCACAAATATATCTACAACAAAAGTCAGATTCAGGTCCTGATAAACACGTAGAAGGTGAAGCAAAAAACACCCCTGAAAATGATTCTCCGTCTTCGCCAACATTTAGAAGTAAAAATTAGTTTTTATTGGATAAAATATAGTTTTATATGTTTTTGAGTTAAACATGGTTCCGAAATCGTTCATTTAGATTTTTAATTAAAAAGTTACAATCCGCCAAAATTCTAGCTGTTTCTTGGTTCCAGTATCAAAAGAAACAGTGAACGACAATATCCCGATAGGTACCCCAACTGTAACTAATTGAGTCAACATAGAAGATGGGATAATAATAAATATGATGAAATTTAAGTTACCCTGTATACATAAATCTATAAATATTTTCATTTAGTGCTTTGTGGCCCACGTAAGAAGCCATCATTGTTCTCCGATTCTAAATCGGAAGACAATTGCTTTGAAGAACAAGAAGAACCCCACATAAATTCATCTCTTCCATTAATGCGAATTGGTCATGTTTGTGAACTAACAGAAACACACAAAAACGCTATACGTGCAATTAGAAAGATAAAATATTTTGTTGCAAGAAAAAAGTTTCAACAAGCGAGAAAGCCTTATGATGTTAGTAAATTTATTTTAGAATTTATCTTTAAAAAATTATGAAAATATAGGTTCGTGATGTTTTAGAACAATATTCTCAAGGACATTTAAACATGATGGTTAGAATTAAAGAATTGCAAAGAAGGTAGGAAATTAGTTGACCCTCTCAAATAAAGAGACTATATCCAAAAGAGCGACCTATAGAGGGGCTACTAAAGAACGACCCTCTACAAAAACTACTCTATATCTTTTTAACATCTTTATTTAAGGATGTTAAGGCTTTTATTTGAAAGCTTTGATTTGACCGATCTGTAGAGATTCTCCTCCTTACATTTACCTCCCTTCCGTATTCGCCGAATTTTCGCTTTTTTGTTTTGTAGTCTCAAGTAGAGATCGGACCGTACCGTACTACGGCCGTATTTTTCGGTATTTGTCGGTATTACAGTCGGAAATACGGTACGGCAACATTTTGAATTTCATCGGTATTTATCGGTATCGGTATTATACGGTATTCGGTACGGAATACGGTACGGAACAAAATTCTCTAGTCTCAAACTCCTGTCTCAAACATAGTTTGAAACTAATGTTTCAAGACTAATTTAACAATACAGCTGATGAACCAATTCATTTAGTGCGTTATCTAGAAGGAGATTGAAATATAGATCAGCCGGTCGATAATAATTGGACAGGAGCTATTATAGTAAGGTTTATGTGGGCTCGAGCGTTGGGTCCTCCGGTTCCCGAAAGCGGGAACCGGGGACGCGCTCGAGCGGCTTTGCTCCTAGATTAAACAACTACTTTATCTTTTTAACAAATATATTAATTCTTTGGGGGAGGTTGGGATTAAAAATTGTGAGAATGAATTGGGAAAAATCGAGAGTGAAAAAAGGTGTGTTTTGTGACAGCTGTTCTTTATTGCTATCACAGAAGCTATAATTAAATTTAAAAATTTTTAATAAAGACTTGATCAAACTCTCGGAAAACCTGGCCAATATCAAGCAAACAACGGAAAAAAATCAAACACAATGACTATAGGTTCACGAATTTCCAGGATCGAAATGCAGGCATGTTGATAAATAATCATTTCAAAAAAACGGCCACTGCTAGTTTAAGTAATTTTGAAATTTTTACTATTTCCTCCTTATTACCTTGGACCGAAAATGGTGAAAATTTCATAACTATTAGAATATAATCTACCATTTCTATTGGTTATTATTTCTTAAATCTTAAAAATCTCAGTTTAATATAATAAGATGGCAAAAATGCTGGATATACATACCGTATATGCTCGAATAATTACCCTGGGTAGTCATTGTTTCGACCTCTCGCTGGAGGGGGTAATTATTCGAGAGGAAGTGCTGAATTAGAGGTATACATATCTCAATAAATCGAGTATGAAATCGATTTATTTTTTGATATAAATTATTAAAATGTTTCAGTAATTAAAATTGACAATGATTCTTTCAACATATTTAAGATTTGTGCAAAAAAGTGAGGGGGTAATTATTCAAGAGGGTAATTATTTGAGAAAGGGTAATTATTCGAGCATTTACGGTATACGGGATTGCCATATTTTTAAAATCTTTACCCCAGTTTTTCACATTATTTATTTTATATATTTCCCTCTAAGTTTGAAAATACATATTTCTAAATCCAATCCAATTAAATTTTCCACAGCAATACTTAATAAATTTTTCAAAATTTTTAGTTGAACTCAATGGACCGAAAAATGGAGACTACAACCAAAATACTTCAGTATTTTTTTATTAAAATTAATTCATTATTGTTTTTTTGCAGGAATCTCTATCGAGTAATTCAACAAAATAACAATCAAGACCTATATAAACGTACATTAAGTCCTGTACCGTCTGCAACGAGTGAAGTACTTGATAATTCTTTTGTAGGATCAAAAGGAGGAAATACAAGAAGAGCTTCCGAACTGTCTGTTTCAGTCCTCGGATTGCATCAACGTCGAAAATCAGAATTTTTATTACCGATTGAACCACCACTTTCACCAATTACGTTCTAAAAATTCTAAATTTGACACCTCACTTAAATTCAATCATTTAATTAAACGAGTTAAAAATAATTTGCTCATTCCATTTATTAACTTTTATTATAAACAAATATTATACTGTGTTAATTTTTTATCTTTCTGGCTATATTCTATCTAAACTAAGTATAATTGAAGATAAGATTTACTTTTATTCTTGACATTAGCTCAGTTTCCTGTCCTATTACTGACAATAACGTGATCCGCGGCAAAGGATAAATGACAAGATTAAGCAAAAAAATGGGAGGAGTGAAAAGAACAATTATTAGACAATTCGGCAAATTGGAAGGAAAGTGAGGAGGAGAAGGGGAAATGAAGTTGCGGAATTTATTAAATTATTGTAAAGAATTTTGGGCGGAATTTGGTCCATTTTGGCGGAACGGGCCAAATTTAAGGAAAGAAGTTTTTTGCCGTTCCGGCCAAAATGGGACAAATTTGACTAACAACAAAAAACGGAGAGGAAAAAGTTTTAATATTTTCAAGTAATTACTAGTCGTTTCCATTTTTGATGGAGCGGGCTATTTAATAAAGAATGAATTTCGCTTCCGCCAAAAATAGACCCGAACTAGTTTTTATAAAATGTGCAAAGGAATGCGCATCACGCGCAAAATAATTATTATATTTAATTACTCTGTTCGCAATTTAAGGGACTGTCGCTAACACGTGTATATAAGCTTATCAATGCTGAACGAATGCGTCCCAAATTTCAGTCAGTAGTGTTCGTCAGCTTTCTGGCTGCTTTTGCTACAGTTGAATTATACTACCCCCCCCCCCCCCCCCCACTACAGTTGAATTATACTACCCACGGTGACAGAACGGTCACCTAACAAATTCGTATAATACGATTCTTGGACGTTTTTGATCGAGTTGCGATGAGTAATCATTTCTCGCGCTTGATTAACGTGTAAGTAAGTCGGCTTCCACTTAAGCTGCGATGAAAGGGTGCTACAGTACGGCGAAGTTGCCTTCTCATGAAAAGTGCAAAGGGAACTTGACTTGTGAGCGCACTAGAGTCGGGTTTATTGTGACTTGTTTTGTTGTCTAAGTTCATTGACCTAATGTATTGATGTGTAAATTCTTTAGTCAATTTGAGAAATCATTTTCTGTTGCCTTTTTGTGCTAGGTTGATAACCTGGGTCGTTATTGGCAAATCGCTTGGTGCTATTGTTTTAGTTGAGCTACTGTATAAAAAAACCAATAGCATGGTGCTATTGTTTTAGTTGAGCTACTGTATAAAAAAACCAATAGCTTGGTGCTATTGTTTTAGTTTAGTTACTGTATAATTATAAGGGATATGTTGAAGGATATATTTGCAAGGATATATTTGGATATATTTACAAGCGAACTGGTGGGCACTTGTTGACCTGAGCGTTGTTTGAAAAGGTTTAGAAAGCAGGGTCGACTTGAACGTTACTGTTGTTGTAGTTGTTGATGTTGTTGAAGGTGTAGAAGTTGTTGTCGTTGTGGTTGTTGCGGCCGCTTTCAGCCTTTTTTGTAATTCAGCCAAGTGTGCCTTCTTTTCTGGAGAAGGCACACTTGGCTTTTCTGAAGAAGGCACATTTTGCTCAATAAACAAATAGAATTTAACCAATATTTAATCAATATTTTAATATCTTAAAGAGGATACACGCAGAGATCCTTAAACTTCCGTCATTATATATTAGACTTGTATAACTTTTGGTAAAAATAAATTAAAATTATTAAAAACCTTGTATAAATTTAAAAAATATATATTTGCAAATCGAAAATTTGCAAATTTCTGAAGAAGCATTTGTTGTTGAATAAATACGATATGTTGGCATTTTGCTCAATAAAGCTTAGAATTTAACCAATATTTAAAAAATATTTTAATGTCTTAACGACGATACATGCCGAAATCCTAAAACTTGGGTAATTATATATTAAACTCAAGTAAGTTTAACTTTTATTAAAATTTAAGTACTAATGAAGATGGAGGTGCCCTTTCTGCGGACTTTTTTTGAGGACTTTTCTTCCCTTTTTTCCCCTTTTTTTAAAATGAAAATTTTTTTGCTTGTAGTTTTTTTTGTAGTTATTAAAGCAGCAGTTTTTAAGAGACTGCTTAATTTTAAAATAATTGCTTGAGCAGGAGCAGAAATAGAGTTGTCAGATTCCACAACGTCGAAATTACTAGAGAAATAGTGCAATAAATTGCTGACGGTTTGATGGAATATTTTCTGCGAAAGCATTTGTTGTTAATAAATACGATTTGTTGGCATATTGCTCAATAAAGCAATAGAAATTAACCAATATTTAAAAGATATTTTAATGCCTTAGGGATGATACATGCTGTGATCCTAAAACTTGGGTAATTATATATTAAACTTAAGCAAATTTAACTTTTATTAAAATTTAATTAAAATTATTTAAAAAATATATATTTGCAAATCGATTTTTGAAATTTAAATTTATTATTTAAATCAATAAATAAAATTTTATTGCTTGTGAGTAGTCTTGTGAGTAGTAAGAAAGCAAGAGTTAGAGAATTTGACAATGAGCAAGAATAGGAAATGGCAATTCTAGCTATCTTACTTAATGGCTCATATCTCGCCACCATTCAATACCCATCCAAATCCTTTAGTTTTAGAGATTATTCCTTAGAATTTTACCTAGAGAAAAGAAATCCAAGTTAGAGAATTTGACAGTCTTATACATAGGCGTAAGTGAGAGTGAGTGCGCTAGTATTTTTAAGACAAAGAATGCAAATTACATAATCCAATACCTAATTTTTGAGAGAGAGGGAGAGATAATTTTTTAAAGATATTATTAGAGAGAATATTGGGGATAGAGACATTGATTACCCACCCTCAAACAAATCCCTCAACTTTTAGAGAGATATTTTTCATAAGAGAGTATTAGAGAGAGAGACCGTGTTTATGTTCAACTTTGCCCATGCGAAAAGTTGGAGAGACAGTGTATCGTTTACACAAAGATCAAGCATTTTGTAAACTTCTTCTGGTCGGCAAGTGCACGAGAATCTTGTTTTGTTGCTGACAATTCTGGAATGTTGGCCGACACAACAGATCTTAATAGATTTCTTCTCTCAGATGAGCTGCAATTGACGCCTGAATAGAATTTGGTGAATAAATTTTTTGAATTAAACAAGCAGCAGTTTTTAAGAGACTGCTTAATTTTAAAATAATTACTTGAGCAGGAGCAGAAATAGAGTTGTCAGATTCCAGAACGTCGAAATTACTAAAGAAATAGTGCAATAAATTGCTGACGGTTTGATGGAATATTTTCTGCGAAAGCATTTGTTGTTAATAAATACGATTTGTTGTCATATTACTCAATAAAGCAATAGAATTTAACCAATATTTAAAAAATATTTTAATGTCTTAAAGACGATACATGTCGAGATACTAAAACTTGGGTAATTATATTTTAAACTTATGTAAGTTTAACTTTTATTAAAATTTAATTTAAATTATTTAAAAAATATATATTTGCAAATCGATTTTTGAAATTTAAATTTATTATTTAAATCAATAAATAAAATTTTATTTGCTTGTGAGTAGTCTTGTGAGTATTAAGAAAGCAAGAGTTAGAGAATTTGACAATGAGCAAGAATAGGAAATGGCAATTCTAGCTATCTTACTTCATGGGGTATGTCTCGCTACCATATAATCCCAATCCAAATCCCTTAGTTTTAGAGATTATTCCTTAGAATTTTACCTAGAGAAAAGAAATCCAAGTTAGAGAATTTGACAGTCTTATACATATGCGTAAGTGAGATTGAGTGCGCCAGTATTTTTGCAGACAGAGAATGGAATTACATAATCCAATCCCTAATTTTTGAGAGAGAGGGAGAGATAATTTTTTAAAGATAGTATTATTAGAGAGATTGGAGAGACATTGACTACCCAACCCCAAACAAATCCCTCAACTTTTAGAGAGAGATTTTTCTTAGATTTTTATAAGAGAGTATCAGAGATGACAAGAAACTTTGAGCTGATTTTGGCAGCTCTTACATAGGCGTAGGTAAGGATGTGGGCGTCTGAATCTCTCTCTCTCTCAATATAAATACACTGGTAAATGGCTAGCAATTAGCATTTAATTTTAAATTAAATAATTTTATTAAATCTTTTAAATTTAAGAGTCAAGGTTTTGATTGATTTACCCCTCTCCTTTTTTTAAAAAATACTAATTTTAAATTAATTAAAAGTAAGAAAAAATATTTTTAAAAATATTTTAGTAAATATTTGAAATGAAATATTACATTTTATTTCTTTTATTTATTTTCCATATTTGGCTTATTTTGCATGTAAATTGCGGAGACAAAAACGGAGATAAAGGAAAAAGACCAGCAAGTAAAGGAGTGAAATCGGATGATAAACCGTCTAAATGGCAGTCGGCCAAAAAGAATTTGTAAGTTATATTATTGTTTTATTAGAAAAACAATAATATAATAACAATAATATAGAAAAACAATAATATACTTTGTCATTGCTTAATGAGAATATGTAGCAAACTTATAAATAATAAACCCGATTTTAATAAAATTAAATATTAACCATAACTTAAATACCTATAAATAACTGTTCAACAGTTTTTGGATTATATTTTAAAATGCTTAAAATGACATATTTTAGTTCCTAAATTTAAAACAAATCTATTTTTAGTGGTCGATTATTGTCTTTGGAAAAAAATTATAATGTTAAAACGCAAGGAGGGCCTTCGAGTCAAAAAAGCAAAGGAAAAGTGCCAATGAATTCATCGACTTTCAAAAAATCAGAAAGCCTTAAAAAATCTGTTGTAGTCTCAGAAAGTGATGATGGTTCTGATTTTGAAGGATCTGATTTCGGAGGATCTGATTTTGAAGGATCTGATTCTGGTGTGTTTATTTTTTTTAAAAATGGATAAGGGATTGGATCTCAGAGATCTGGAACCCGCATGCAAGAGGGTTAGATCAAAATATGCCATCTTAATACTAAATACTTTAATAATCCTACGTTATCCCAGATCACTCGATATATCATCGAAATGCACTTAATCCCTCTTAGTCATCACAAATCTACGATATCCCTCCTAAAGCATCCAAATTACAAAGTTAACAACAAAATCATC